AATCATGATTTCCTTTACATCTAAAGCTCTGTGGAGTTATAAATAAATACGAAGCTTACAGGATTAAAGTGGGCGAGCCACATTTGAAAATTGTTGCTTTGACTCCGTTTAAATACCTTTCTCTTTGTCTCCTCAGTTCTGGTGATCAGCGGTAACCAATCATGCCTGATTCGTCTGGTGTTGCAATAACGGCTGTGCTATTGATACTTATTGTTGTGGACGTTGTGGGCAATACACTTGTTTGTTTAATCATAAAACGATATCTTCGCACAAAGTATGAGAAACATTCTTTACTGATTTGTTTCTTCCTCGTCCGAGTGTTTCTGAGTTCTGCTTTAGATCATTTATAATTTGGATTTTTCATCTCTAAATACAGAAATCCCATAAATTATTTACTTCTGAATCTGGCCATATCTGATATCCTATTCGCATTGTTCATCGCACCAAAGATTATCGTCAGCTTCAACATGAGTCACCCGGACGGATTGGCAGGTGTGGTACTTTGCAAGCTTTTGACAGGTGGAAATATAGCCTGGGTTGCAGGAGTTTCGTCAGTTGTCACTTTGGTTGCAATTGCCTTTGAAAGATATTACTCAGTATTATATCCCATTGCCAGAGAAAAGAATCTTTCACGGCGCAAACTGAAGGCAAGTCTATGCATCAACCCTAAAAAACCAACGGACTCTTCAAAATGCCCAAAATCTTCCAATCCTATTCAAAATGCGCAATTTGTCCGACAAGGCGCAGTCATCCATCAATTTAGCCACCGGTCCATCTAACTGCCAATCACTTGCTAAAGAGCTTAGAAGAACTCTGAACTCACGATAGTCATTGTGCGCATAAAATTTCACAAAATTTAGTAACCTCTCTTTTAACTTTCTTTTTCAGATAATAGTTCTTGGCGCTTGGGTGTTCTCAGCATTTTTCAACATACCATTGTTCTTAGCTAGGACCTTCGACAAGGAGAAGACCAGCAAAAACTGTGTTCAGAATTGGCCTGAGAGGTGGATGTCCACGGCTTATTGTTTGGCGTGGTTGGTTTTGGTTGTCGTTTCCGTGGGAATTATGGTTGTCCTTTATTCTATTGTTGCGTGCACATTGTGGTTCAAACGCAATGGAAACAAAGGAATCAACTATCAGCAAAAAGTTAGTGTTTAAATAGGGGAAAATTAAACACAGGAAGACTTAGGGAAACAATTTTGCTGTCACTATGGCTAAAATTAGAAAGAATCCTATCTAAATGACAAGTGAACCTTTAGTTGAAAAAGTCTCCTCTCAAAGAATATCTTTAAGAAAGGTTTTTGGTAATTCAACGGGGTATATATCCTTGTAGTGAAGAAGTGTCGCTTTTCCCATAATGAATTTAACGACATACTTCACTACATTATCTTAGCTCATTGGGATCCTTTTCCTTCTCACAATTCACAGGGCGTCTTAAAGGTTCGGAAACGTGTTACCTTGATGGCTATAGCAGTCAGTTTCATCTTTGCAGTTTCCTGGGGAGCAGAATCAATTGAATACGTCTTGAGGACTCTTTCAACTCTCAACATCAGCTTTGAACATATTGCAGCTGTTGATATGATGGTGTTGTTCAATTCAGCAGTCAACCCATTCGTGTATGCCCTCTTGAACCAACAGTTCAGACAGAACATCAAGAGAGTGATTTGGTGTAATGATACACCGGAACCCAGGACTGGAGGAAAGGAAAACACAAGCCGAAGTACTGATCATGAACGCACTACTGAAATGTGATTCTTAAAACATTGCTTATTATATGGCAGATGAGTCCCACCATCGATATGTTAAAGGTCTTAAAAGTAAAATAAACTCACTTAAATATTAGAGAAGAAGGGTGGAAAGAGAATTTCAACAACACGTTAACTTAAAAAGGGAGCTTAGTCAAGCAGTGAAATGAAGGAGACAAAAAACAATATCTGCTTGCCTACGTGTAGCCATACCCTTCCCCCCTAAGGTGAAGCGAAAGCGAGGCAACGTCTACGCAAACCTGACACTACTCATGTTCCGTGACGTCACTCTTTTTCAAGAAAATATATAATGACGTTTTATTGGTTAACCTCTTTTGCTTGGCAATTTATTTCCATACTAACGAACTGGTGAACAAAACGCTTTCATGGTCAACTTTTCAGACAACAGGTATCCACGACGAGGTTTTTAAGGCAAGTTTGCTCGACTTTTAGGATAGAAACATTTCAAGAAGAACAGCAGAAAGCCGTAGATATGTTTTTCGAAAGGTTACACTGTCTCCGTTTGACTGGCTTTGGAAAATCTTCAATATATCAAACAGCGCCGGTAATCGATCGCCTTTCTTTTTTAGATGAAACCGGTTACTATATTTACTGTGCCGCCCGTTAAAGCTCTCACAGGAGACCAGGTGCACTATCTTAATGTACTTGGGCCAAGAGGCCCTTCAACTTTCGGTTTCTTTGCGAACGGCGCTGCAAAGCTATTAAATTGAAGTTAGTAGATTCTTGCAGCGATACCTTCGATTGAGAGAAGGGTAGCTCTTTCTTTTGTTGCTTGCAGCGTAACTATTTCTTAAAGAAATCTGTAAAAACTTGAGATTCTGCTGCAATGATTAAACTTTTTTCGACGACCGTGGCACTGTTTACAAATGTAAGCAGAAACAAACATAATATTTTATTTCTTAAACTCAACGAAATTCTCTCCAAATGAACCCGAATGATTTAGGGCTGTAATTACGGCAAGATCTCCCATAACCTGAACAATTTTTTGAGCGAGTTAATGGTTGTTAAAATAGAGGTAATACAAATTAAAGAGAGAGGTTCATCGAAACATTTTCAGTTGCATAAACAAACTTTGAAACATTGTTTTTACAAGTATCTGTCAATAAGAGAGAGCGTAAGAGAAAAAAAGCGCAAGTACACTTTTGAAAAAACAACGGAACTAGTTCGACAAGGACTGTCACAATAATGTTTTCTTCAAAAATATTCAATGATCTTTCGGAAAGTATTATTCACTCTAGTAGACGATTAATTAATGTACGAAGATCTACCTTTGTTCAGTAAGTAAATGACAAGGAAAGTAATTGTAAGTAAAAACAAATTTTTTATTTTGAAGTTGTGAGAATTTGCTTGTTTGTTTACTGCAATGGCGTATGTAAATCTGGTCTTTCTTCACAAAAACTTAATTCGAATGAGACACTTCAACTACACACAAGGGAATTTTATGCGGCTTTTTTTTATGAATTCCTTCAGTTTCTGTCGTGCAATTACTGGTGCAAATGTCCAAATTGAACGGGCCTGGAAAGACTCACCGAAAGTATCTTTATAGGAGAACTGAAAACTTCGCTCGCCCTTTTATTACGAATAAATTGTTTGAGAGAATACAGATATTAAATGAATGAAAGTTCCGTCAATTGTAGTCAAATACCTCACGTTTTAACTTTCAAGGTACTTTTTGTCTAGGATTAAAATTAATTACAGACGGTTTTTGGGCAGCTTGTCAACCAGTTGAATGATCCTTGCAGCGTAACCACCTCTTAAAAAATCTGTAAAAACTTGAGATTCTGCTGCAAATGATACAACATTTTTTGACGACCGTGGCACTGGTTATAAATGCAAGCAGAAACCGCGTGGACGTTGAAATGAAGTTTCGTAAGCGCGATGGTAATCGAACATCGACCCTTTCTAACCTTATCCAAAAACCGCTCACAGTCTTTTCCTATATCTTTAAAGCAGAGTATACATTTGAACTCGGACGCTAAATTGCAAATTTACCCGAAAAATGGAGAATGAATTCACTTCGATGTTGTTGTTTATCTCTATCACTTACAATATATAGAATTAGTCAAGCCTAAAAGCGGAGCTCGTGTTAATTTATTTTTAGCCCTTCATTATTCCGAATAAAAACTGAAATAAAGCTCTTCAGCACTGGCTGTAGAAGAGTTTCTTCCAAGGGATTTAGAGACCAGTCCGGGGGGGGGGGGGGGGGGGGGGGGGGGGGGGGGGGGGGGGGGGGGGGGGGAAGGGAGAACAATTGAAGAGGTCTGGAACCTGGTGACGATGTTCACAGAACCTGAAGGCGATCAACACGCATACTAGTCAGCGTTATCTTCAAACAGCTCAGGAAGCTTGTTGTAGTTCCTGATGTTTTGAGCAATTTTTCGAAGATAGGGAATGTTTTCTTCTTCAGATGAAGTGTATGATGTCATAATCAGTTAAAATGACATTCTTTTGAGCATTGCTTATAATTTCGGTTTGGGAAATTGAGCCAAAAACGAAAGAAACGACGGTAAACTACTTTGCATTGAGACATTACTGGTCGATTGAGGAATGAGAACAGTGAGTCAGTAAAACAATACGCCAGAATCGTATGGGCTTCTCTTACATCTTCTCTTGAAGTTGCCAGGTATGACTGCTCGCCCAACCGTTTTTCGGTAATCTCTGCTGTAACTGCATACAATGTGGGTGTCTTTAAGAAAACTTGAGATACTACCTGGATTTCATTTTTCCATCACAGAAGTCAATTCCAAACGTCAATCAAGTTTTCTCTTTGGTTTAAAAGTTAAGTTGATGTTGTTATTGGCTATATTAAATAGGTTGAAAAGTTGCCATGTTTGCCATTAATTAAATTTACTGGAAGGTGGAGTTGTTGCAACATGTTAACATAAAACACAACAATAAATGTTATTGATATGTAAAAAGCTTTCATTTTACTATCTTCTAGCAATTCTTTGTATTACATTTCAACCCAACCATTTTCCACAAGTTGTAAACACTATTACAAAATAATTAGTCATGGGAATGGAAAATTTGTGGTATATACACCATGTTTGACATGCCATGTCCATAATAAGCTAACAGGATTGAGGAGGGTGTATATGGGAATAGGCTCTCTTGTCCTCTCCTGTTGGCAATGTTTCCCTGAGGTTGGGCTGTCAGGACAAAGGAACAGAGGATTTTAATGGGCAGTGACTTTTTTCAAACCCGGAAACTAGATGAAGAGATATAATATTTTATTACAAAAATTTGATGCATAGGCTGTGCACAAAACCTTACTATGACTATACTTTTATAGCCAATACCAATCCCTACACAACAAAATATCAGTAAGATCAGGGGAAAAAATAATGTGCCATTCATCTGTAAGAGTTCAATCCATGTAATTATTTTAATTACATGAATATTAACTAATGCTAGGAAATCTAAGAATATTCAAAAGAAAAGAAATTTGGTTGAAAAATTAGAATTCAGCATAGGCAGAATAATTAAAATTCCTAGAAAAAGAAATGTGTACTAATGAAAAAGCGAACCAAACATTTTTACAACACCTGCCTGTACCTGTACAACAGGTAGTAAAGTCATTCAAAGTAGTCATAATCCCAGTTTTATATGTTGAAAAAACAGCCACATGCAGATTTCCTGTAAACGTCTGATGAATTCAAAATTTTGATGCACACCTCAAAAGAATAACAAATAAATTTCAAGTATCTATTTATTCAGTTTAGGTTAGTGTGGTAAAATTGAGTCAAATATTCAAACAACGACAGGCTAAGAAAATGTTCACAACTAATTTATCAGGTTAGCCTACCCTGAACAATCACCTTTGTGTACAAATTAGACCAGGGCACAGTTGTATAAAGGGCAGATAACACTATCCAACCAATAAATTGCTATCCAGTGGATAAGTGATAGCAAAATGTATAGTGTTATCCATGGGATAGAGCTTTATATCCAGTGGATAGTGCTATCCAACCTTCAAACAACCGAGGCCAGGTTTGTAATGATAATGCACAAACGAGCTATCTGTGGTAAGAGGGCATGCTCTCCTCTCTTCATTTAAAGAAATACTGAGGTTATCATCTTTCCACAAGCTCAGTGGAAAGTGAGAGTGAATGAGACTGATATTGACTGTGTTATTTGAATAAATATACAGTGGAGGCTAAAAAGTAAGATATACTCTGCATAACTATCCTATTTTTATTTTTTTTACCTATAAAGCTAACTGCATTTATATTCTTGCTTTGTGCACTATATGGATGCCAATTAATTTAACTTTTGTGTGTTAAAATACAAACAACGTTCTCTTCATCTATGTGCCCTAAACATTATGGAGGCAGGTAAAAGTAAAAACATGAATTAAAAAAGGAGGGCCCCCCAGTAATTTCAGTCCTAATTAAAGGAGGATCCTTGCCTTTCTAGATTCCAACCCTTCAAAACTCACATATCTTGTGATTAATTCTATATACATGTATCAATGTTTAGTTTGGGAATGAGCATTAATAAGAAACACCATACCTTAATGAAAGCTTGAGCAAGAGTATTTAATGCAATCTAAATAATAATGTTACATTTTACAATGTGGTAACTTACACAGCAAAATTATATAATCACACAATTCCAAACAA